CAGTCAGTGTTTACAGTAAGTGAGAGTTTGGTTTCCATTTGGTTGTAAATGTTAAAAACACACAATGGAAATGTTTTAGTTTTCATGCAAAGTTACAGCTTTGAAACATTATCTTTTTTTCTGGCAATCTTCTAAAGAAGATAAAAGGACAGATCAGCAGTACAGAAAAGGTAAAAAAACTGAGTTTAGGTCAAACGTTCTCTAAAAGTCAGTAAGAAGTGCTTGTAAGGAGTTTCACTTTAACATTTCAACGCTGTTTATTCCATACCACGCTTTGCTTCATTTCACTCAATCATATATTGTGTTTATTTGTACATGTTCATGTTTTCTATACTTTTTCTGCATCATGCTTTACATTTGATTCCTGTTTGAGCAGAATAATGGCAGAGATACTTTCTGCCATCATCACTGGAGTGTCACTGTTAGGAACCGCTATTGAACAGATATCCAGAAATGTGAACACAGAGAGAAACGTTGCCATTCAAATCAGCAATTTCAGCAAACAGTACATCTTAAAGAATCCAAGGTCAGTACGAGTGAATCACCCCCCCCACCCCGACAGTTTTTTGTTGATCAAATGTTCTGAAGTAAACATTAGTAATATGAATGTATTTTTCATATACCTTTATAACAGTTTGTATAAAAGACCTGTGGTGAAACGCTGTACTTTTAGCTCCACTGTCTTGGGGGAGATGTTTTGCTCTTTTTTAGACTGACAGGACAGCAACCAGAATGCTACACTATGATACTGTAGGAAAGTTTTCAGGATGGTTAGTCACTGTAGACATACAAGAATAATGTGTACACTGCTCTTTCTATATGATGCATGATGTTAGCCTCCATTATTGATGTAACACTCACTGCTTTGCATTTCAGCCCTCTGCTTTGTGATCATTAGTATATTCTGAATTTTAATAATTTTTGGTGTTTGGTATGTGTGTGTTTGATATCTGTGTTTTTGGTATAACTATGTTTGGTATGCATGTGTTTGGTATAGGTGTTTGTTTGGTATGCACTTGTTTAGTATGTGTGTGTTTGATTTGATGATTATAGTGCATTTTTCACACCAGTATAGATAATGGAAAACATGCATTCTCTGTTCCTTACAACTACAATCACTGTGAGAACCGGTTGGCCCTGGGCCTTTTCGACGCCAGCCGATCCTGTGATGAATCTCTGTTCAACATGATGTACAACGACAGCGGTCCTTTCCTCAGAGATAACTGTTCCAGTACTGAGCAAAAGTATTCAGAGAAAAACTCTGGTTTGACAATACTGCAGAAAGAGCACAAACATTTCTTTTAATGGCACAAACCAGCACAAATGCAGCACAAACTAATGAGACCCTTTTTGTGTGATTTAGACGTTGATGGGGGGCTGAGTGACATCACTTATTAAAAAATTATTATAACTTGATAATTAAAAGAGCACAAACATTTCTTTCAACGGCACATACCAGCACAAACACAGCACATACCAGCACAAACACAGCACAAACGCAGTACAAACGAATGAGACCCTTTTAGTGTGATCTGGACGTTTATGGGGGGCTGCGTGACGTCACTCGTCCAACCTTTATGGCTTTATAACTGGAGAATTAAAACAGCATGAATGTTTATTTTAATGGCACAAACTAGCAGATATATAGCACAAATGAATTAGACCCTTTTCATGTGATTTGGACATTGATGGGCGGCTGAGTGATGTCACAGGCAATAAGATGTAATGTTTAATTTCTTAAAAACGGTGCCCGCACAGATGATAATTTTTATGGCACAAACCAACACTAATGCAGCACAAACGAATAGTAGCATTTTTATTCCATTTCTGACCACATGGGGGGCCAGCCTCACGGAGGTTCTGAACTGTGGTTTAGAAATTCATTTTTTCAAATCTGACTTTGCTGAATGATCATGAAGTCACTTACCTTTAAGATAATTGAGACATTTTTAATCATTTACAGTCCAGCTGAAAGCCTTTTTAAAATTGTCTACGAAACCCAATGTTACCTTCGTACCTCAGGTTTCATGTAAAAGGTCCTGATATCATAATGAAAGGTTCTTTTGGTGTGTGAAAGGAATGTAGTTTGGTCAATGTGTTGACTTAAACACCCACTGACTCCTGGGAAGTGTGGGTGTGTTTTTCATGTATGATAATGTTCCGTTACCTTTAAAAATGTTCCCAGTGATGATGTTCTGACATGTTGAGGTCTGCTTAGTGCTCACAACTCCAACAAGCCTTGAAATCTGACTTTTCAGAAGGTTAAAAAAATTACCTGGCATTGTTCTACCAGGCCATGTCACCGTACTGACAACCTGATACAGACAGCAGACAACAGTGATCTATATTGCTTTTAATGGAACCAAAGGCATTAATGTGGAGTTGATCCCTCTTTGCAGCTACAACAGCTTCCACTCTTCTGGGAAGCTTTCTACATGATTTTGGAGTGTGTCTGTGGGAATTTTTGCCCATACATCCAGAAGAGCATTTGTGAGGTCAAACACGAATGTTGGATGCAAAAGCCTTGCTCACAATCTCCGTTCTAGTACATCACAAAGGTGTTTGATGTTGTTGAGGTCAGGGCTCTGTGCAGGCTAGTCGAAGTCTTCCACACCAAACTCACCCAGCCATGTCTTTATAGACCTTGCTTTGTGCACTGGGACACAATCATGCTGGAACAGAAAAGAGCCTTCCCCAAACTGTTCCCAGAAAGTTGGAAGTGTACATTTGTCCAAAATGTCTTGGTATAATGAAGCATTAGGATTTCCCTTCACTGGAACTAAGAGGCCTAGACCAACCCCTGTAAAATAACCCCATAGCATTACCCAAACTTTATAGTAGGCACAGTGCAGTCAGGCAGGTAATGTTCTCCTGGCATTCGCCAAACCCAGACTTATCCATCAGACTGCCAGAGCGTGAATCCCCTCTACCCCCCTCTAACCCCCACCCAGAACCAAAGGCTTTTAAAAACATACCATAATGCATAAGTGTAAGATGTATTTATAACCTCTAAATTTGTCAAATTAATACTGGCATTGTTTTTAATGCTGTTTATGAAATTGAAAGATTTAGATTCACCATAGTTTAATTTTTGAATAACATTTTTTGACATTTTTCATGTCCCTACTAAAACACCCAGTTTTAGTCAGTAGGCAGGGCCTTATTTTAACCACATCCCTGCATTTTAGAGCAGAAAGTGAGACTCCATCCCTGTCCCTCACGGCCACATGGTGAGCAGTTAAATCCCATTGTTTTGACATAAATGTGTCCCCAAGTCTGAAAATCAGTGTCGAACATCAAGAATTGTCATATTTTCTGCAGTTAAGTATGTTTTAGTGTTTTAATAATGAATATGATTTTGTGAGTGCAGCTGCTCAAAGCTGTGTTTGCTTGTCATGTACTAGCTCTGTTTTTGAGTTTTGCTAAAACTGTCACTACCGAAACAACCATTACTGAAACATTTAGTAGAGTTTGGGGAGAGTTATGTTGTTTTGATAGTGACAAAATGAAATGTTTAATGAGTCCAAGATCAGTTAAAAGTCCTAAATTTTGTTTCAGCTCTGACTTTAAACCAGTTGAGAAGAACCATTGGTATAATACATAACTGCAGAATCTTATATCAAACAAACACTAGGTGGAGCTGTGTGGCTTTTTACTATTAGAATCGGAATCAAAATCAGAATTGCTTTATTTCAACAAGTGTGTTGTCTTAGTGAGTCACACATGTGTGACATGTAACATACTAAGCAGACCAGGCGGCACACAGACTATTAACAAGTATTGAACCGTGGGAAAAGTAAAATAAAATGCAATAAATAGAATATAGAATAAAGAATAATAAAAATAAAAAACAACCAATGTGAAAGGAGCTCAGGAGATGTATGTATGACGTGTGGATATATGTATGTATGCAGATATGAATATCTGTACATGTGCAGGTCAAGTAGACATGTACTGTAAAATATACTATAAAACTATTATACACAGAATATTACAGAGTGATACAAACATTTGTAACTTGTACAGTAGTGCAAATATGCAATATGCTACAGGAGGAGTTAATGTAATACTGTAAGGGAGGTTTGATGGTCAGTTTAAGTTTAAAGTGTGAGGTGTCCACTGAGGTTAATGATCTACAGCTCTGCGGAAAAAGCTGTTAGCATGTCTGGCTGTGCTGGTTTTGATAGTCCTGAATCTTCTACCAGAGAGAAATGTCTGGAAGAAGTGACGTCCAGGATGCGAGGGGTGTAATTTTGCTGGTGTGCATCATCACCCTGCTGTTGTAGATGTCCTGAAGTGTTGGCTTATACATCTGATGATCCTCTCTGCTGTCCTGATTATGTGCAGGAGTTTGGCTCGTTCTTGTGAGGTGAAGGAACCAAACTAGATGGTTATGGATGATGTCAGGATTGACTCAATGATCATCAGGCTCTGCAGCAAATTGAATTTCTTCATTTGTCTTAGGAAGAACATTCTCTGCTGAGCTCTCTTGGCGATAGAGACCGTGTTCCTTTCCCACTTCAGATCCCTGGATATGGTGGTGCACAGGATCTTAAGCGACTCCACAGCGGAAACCACAGAGCCGGGGCAGTAGGGAGGGGAAGGGACTGCGCCATCAAGTCCACCACCATCTCCACTGTCTTTTCCATGCTCAGCAGCAGGTGATTGACCAGCTGCTCAACTTCCTTTCTGTAGGCAGAGTCATCACCGTTGGCTATGAAGCCCACCACAGTGGTGTCATCTGCAAACTTCAGGATCTTCACAGCTGGTTCCTTAGAGGCACATTCATTATTGTAGATACTGAAGAGCAGGAGTGACAGTACACAACCTTGTGGTACTCCAGTACTGAGGGTCTGGGGGTCTGACATGTAGTTTCCAAACCACACCAGCTATTTCCTGTTTGTCAGGAAATCCATGATCCACTGGCAGACGGGATCTGGTACTGTTTGGCCTGCAGCAGCTGTGGTTTTGAACACAAGCTGAAATCCACACAGAGAACTCTAGCGTAGGTTCCATGACTGTCGATCATGCTGTAGAATGAAGTGCAGGGCCAAGTTGACCGTCTCATCAACAGACCTGTTAGCTCTGTATGTGAACTGCAGGGGATCTAGCAGAGGGTTTGTAATGTTCTTCAGGTGGTCTAGGACCAGGCGTTCAAAGGCTTTCATTAATACAGAGAGATAGAAATAGAGCAGAATTTAGAATATTACTTTTTCTAAATTCTAAAACTACAGATTTAAATGAAAAAAATCCCAGATTTTCCTAGTGGTCTCAGACTTTTTGACCCCACTGTGCATAATTCACTGGTTAAGATGTATGTGAAGTCATTCAGAGTGGTTTGGTGTGAAACGCTCCGTTGTAGACAATCTTACCGAGTCAGAATTGTTCATAGTGGTGGTGATAGGAACCAGACGTCCACCTCTAAAAGCTCTCTCACAGAAGGTTATTACATGAAATGGTTATGAATACACTGCCTGATGTCTGAGACATTGTTTTATGGTTTAGAGAAGACTTTGGTCTAATATGGGGAAATGTAGAAAAATTCCCTAAAAAACCTTATTATTTCAGATTTTCCACCAATTTCCCATCATCAACATTCCATATAAAACTCAGAAGACAAGTGTAGGTTCACTGGTGGTTTTGGATAGTAAATAAAATGTCTATATTTGTATTGTAGCCATGGCGACCCCTGGTTCCTATCACCACCACTGTAAAGACATCTGAATCATTTCACACCAAACCACTCAAAATCACTTTGATTACATCCCACACACTGAATTATGGAAAAATCAGTGTGTGGGATGAATTTTGAAAAATCTGTGGAATTGCCCTTTAAATTAAATCCTTATTTAATCCTTATTGCACTTTCGTGCAAGCATTGCTCTATGCAAATGTATTAATGTTATCACTGCTCATTTTTATTTTTACAGTTATTTTTGATATTATTGATGTTATTACCAGTGCATGTGCTTGTGTGCTGTAATGGGATTACAAATATTATACTTTTAACCATTTTGTCTGCATTAAAGGCTCATTAAAATCAAACTTTGTCATTATTTCTCACCATAGATGTGATAACAGAGTGCAGCTTTCACCTAATAATCCCACAATTCTATCTTAGCGATTGCTCTACCTCTTGGAGACATGGTTCCTTTGAATTCAACACCATATTTCTCAAATCTAACTTCACTCCCTGAACACTTATCCTTCATGAAGGGGCCAGTTTCGTAGTACATCATGTTGTACAGAGACTCATCACAAGATGTGTTGGTATCAAAAACACCCAGAGCGAATAAGTTTTCATAGTGATTGTAGTTGTAAGGAACAGAGAACATGATGGCTACACAGCAGACGGCGGGACAGTCCTCATCATCTGCGACATCGTACATCAGGACGCCCGCACAGCCCCACGCTGTGTTGGGTTTTTTGGTGAATGAACAGGCCTCTGTGGTGTTTGGTCTGATGGTGGGTTGAGGAGGATCATGGCTGTATCCACTGTAGGTGTGCACTCTGCAAAAAAAACATGATGACCTCATTACAGCTCGTTCATCGTTTTGGGTGTGCAGATTTTTGTTCAGTGGGCGAAGAAGCAAAAAAAAAAATAATGTTCATAACACTAACTATGTACGTATGCATTAAGACACTCACACACAGTGTATTTCAAATAAACAAGATATCAAATCATAACTGCATTTTCACAGAGAATCAATACCTACAACACTCACTTTTGTCATGTTAAAGGTTCATTTGCTAGTATTTAAAACACATTTACATACATTTGTTTTTGTATGGTACTTTTCTAAGTGTAATATTTCCCCATACATTTTTAAATATATTTGGTTAATATGACAATATATTCTGAAATATACTAGTGTTTGGAATGTATTTCAGCATTGACTGCAATGTATTTGAAATGTATTTCAAATATATAAAAATATATGTGGGATGCAAACACTATTTTGAATATTGTTGTATCACAACACAATTCAAAATGTGACAGCCAAACATCTCTTGTACCGAGAGCAAGCTTTTATCTGGTCAACTGTAATAGCAAGATAGTAATTTGAGAAGTCTTGCGTCTAGAGTCTCTTACAGAACTGGTTTGCTGTCCATCATTCCAATGGGAGCAGTACACACTCCTACTGTTGGCACGTTTAGTTCTGGTGGCTGTTGGAAGATACTGTTCGGATGCTATGATCGGTCCTGTGTTGAGTATTGAGTGTTTTGACCATCACAGTAACTTTGGGCCTCGTTCTTCAACATCTTCCTAAGTTTGTTCTTAAATATTTTCTTGAGAAAGGTTCTAAGAAAAAGTCTACATCAGATTCAAGATGTGTTCTTAAACCACAGAACTGTTCTCACCTTTGTGCTCTTGCGTGTGTGTGAATTCTGTTTTTACCTAAGAACAAATCCCAAATAAGAAAACATTGGTCTTCGTCAGAACTGTGTAAGGGTAGGTTTTAACCCTCTGAGTTATGAGGCTATGAAGAGGAGCTGAGATACAGGTCATCTGCCTCTCACCATGTGGAACTGGTGGGTTCATGTGTTCGTCTACATTCTGTGTGAAACTGACCAACGGACACTCAGGGAATCACTAAGGACTGACCATCACACCAGAAACCTTTCATTTTTCATTCAGTCCACATCAGAGACTCATGTGAAATGGAGTGCAGAGAGTTTACAGCTGTTGAAGTTGCTGCAGTGGTTTTGGAAAGTAGTGATGAAGATAATGGAGCACTTTGATATGAAACATATGAGGATTATGTTATATGAAGAGCCTTTAAAGAAGAATTCAAGAAGATATGAACAAATCAGAAACACCCCAGAGGGTTAAGAGGAAATTTTTTTCTTAAGAATGGTTGAGTCCCACTGAGTTGTACAGCAGGACTATGTAATGTGTTGGCCAGGGGCTGTTATTTGTGTTTCTGTAGTTGCATACTGCTTTGTCATTTGTATGTTTTTAAAAATGATTTGAAGGAGCTGCGTCCCAAACAGTCTTCAGACCGTCTGTAGTGGTCGGATTTTTCTTTTCTACACATTTCCTTACATAGCCTGAACTTTACTTCATGAAATGTGGCATTAAGCTGCTAAATGTTGTTATTTCATCACTGAAGTTTGGGGGGAGGAACATGCCTGAAACCACTCCTTCCTCCAAGCTAACACTTAAGTCTTCACAATCCCCACCGCCACTCCAACATCAGCCCTACCACAGCTATGAGGGGGTCTAGCCTTCTAGCTAATGGCAGAAGCTGCCCAGAACTCCTGCCCAAGTTCTCAGTTTGCCCCCTCCCTCAATCAGTCATCCCTTATACTACCACCACCATGTTGAAAGCAAAGTTCAAACTCACAAACTTGGTAGTTGTTGTTCAGAACACAGCCATCCTGAAGGACATGACCCTGAATGCTGCTCAGCAGAAGGATTTGGATGAGCTTTGGCAATTCAGTGCCAACACAGTGCGCCACAGTGTGAAAAACGCTGAATGAAAGTCTTTGTATTCATAATTCTGGTCTTATTTTTTAAATATGACATTTATTATTTATATCAAACTTCAGAGAAACAAAATATTATTCATATTGTGTATCGTGAAAATGTCTTTTATTTTTTTTTACATTTATGTCACTACTTTCAGAACAAAACCTCATTTTCAGGTTTTGAAAAAAATCTCATTTACTTATGTTAAAAGTAACGTATGTTTTTTTTTTTCCTTCTCCTGTAAAGTAACCATTTTGGAGATAAAAGGTTTTGTTCTGACAGCAGGGAAATACATATTTGTCCACCCCATCTTTGTTTTTTGCTCTTTTATTTTCGTTCTTTATCTTTCTTTCCTCTTTCTGTCTTTTCTCTCATTCTTTCTTTGTTTATTTATTTATTTATTTGAGATCTGGAGCATGAGTGTTTATGTTCAAAGCTGTCATTCATGTTGCTGAGTAGCATGTGCTGTTTTAATTGTGTCTTCATTAAAGCACTTTTTATTTCATTTAACCTTCTGACAGAATGACTGTGTTGTAGTCGGTTAGTCAGGATTAAAAGAGCCGTGCCTTAGGTAGAATGTGTCAAACTGCATTCCTAAATGGAAATGAACTGCTGGTCATGTGGACAGATTTGTTTAAAAACACATGCAGCTCTAACAATTCAGTGCCAATCAAATGTGCACAGTAGCCTGACGATGCAGAGGAAGCTGTCAGTGAGAATGACCTCTAGTCCTAAAAAACGATGGTTCTTCAAGGGTTCTTTAATAAGGAAAATGGTTCTATATAGAACCATGAACACTCACAGAACCCTTTGCATGATTAAAGTGTTCTTTGACTTGTTAAAAGGTTCCTCAGATTGATGGAGGATGTGCTGTAGATGGTTCTATATAGAACCTTTTTGAAAAGAGTTCTATATAGGAGTTCTTGTTCTTGTTACGATGGCAAGCCTGTAACAACAGAAGAACCCTTTGTGGCGCTATATAAAACCATATACAATACATTCTTCATCAATCTGAAGAACCATTTTACCATGCACAGAAACCTTTAATCATGGAAAGGGTTCTTTGAGTGTTCGTGGTTCCATATAGAACCATTTGCTTTACTAAAGAACCCTTAAATAACCATCTTTTTTAAGTGTGTATGTAAACATTTTTCAAAAAATGTTCTATATAAAACCATATACAACACAATCTCCATCAGTCTTAAGAACCCTTTAACAAAGCAAAGAACAAGGGTTCTTTGAGTGTTCATGGTTCTACATAGAACCATTTTCTATACTAAAGAACCCTTGAAGAAGTGTCTTTTTAAAGTGTGTACTTTAAACAGTTGCATTGCTGGATAATATTAATTAATATTGCTGAATATATTTTAATATGACAAAAACAATGTAATAATACCACATAAAAGTGCATTTAGTATACAAACTGCAGGTGATATGAACATTTGTGCATAGCAAGTTTATTTATCTAATACCTTTCATACACTGCTGTCATTCAAAGTGCTTTTCAAATGAGAAAATGCAGAGACATTTATAAAGTAAAGGAGAACAGAAAATAAAAATACAATTAAAACATGATTCAAATAATATTTTAACAGAGAAAATCATATAGTTAAAAATCAAATTAAAAATGAAAAATTAAAATATGATAATAAAGTGCCATGGTGGTTAAAACACTCAGTACTGAAGGGGGTGCTAGAGGACAAATCAGAGAGCACCAGCGGCCTCAACAGCTAAACATGGACAGTAGCAGAGAGTGAGCTGCTTTACCTATTTCTGCTGGAATGGAAATAGAATTTTTTTATGCTTTATGTAAGTCGTCTTTGCGTGAGACTCATCTGCTATGGCAGGTGTGAAAACATGCTGGCGGTACAAGACGGCTTGGGCAGTCTTAGCTGTTGTTACAGCGCCCCTGCTGTAACGCTCAGAATGCAGCTCGCGCTTACATTACGTTATTAAATGCGTTGTGACACATTTTTGAATGCAACCACGTGCAAAACACTGTCTGCGTAGCTCTGTACACTTAGTGTAAATATCATCTGCTAGTACTAATTACATTAAGTGGACCTAGTAATGTCACGATATTTATACTTGTAGGCTATTTATTGTATTGGTAGTTTATGAAGCAAAAGTCTTTAATAGAATAGTACAGCATAGTTGCAGCGTTTGTTTACATCACTTTAGTACATGGGTTGCTGTGCACAGTTATTAGTATAATTATTGTTTATTTTCTGTTTTTACTGTAACTGCTGATATTATAGATGTTCCTAATAATAATTGCAATTATTCTCATGCAAATCAAGCATTTCTTTCAGGTTGTTAAACTATCAAGCTCAAATTTGCACACATTCCTACCTGATATGTGAGTTTGATTACACAGATACACCACAGATCAAACTGATCAATAACAAAACTGGGTGAAATTTGCATGTTTGATGATCAGATTTGACTGTATGCAAAGCAAGGAGAGACGTGTTCACCCACCTCGGGTTTCTGAGGATGTATTTCTCACTGTAGTTGCATATGTCTATGGTCACATTCCTCTCAGTGTTTATATTGTTGGAGATTTGCTCGATGCTGGTGCCGACCAGCGATGCTCCAGCTATGACTGCAGACGCAATATTAGCTAAATCAGCCATATCTTCCACTGAAACGAGAGTGACGCATACACATGCGTACATGCCCATGTGGGAAAAAATACTTGAGACATATTTCAAACACTAAACTGTTTAGTTACATCTATAACCTTTATTACAACTACACACAACTGAAAACCTATAATAATGAATACTAATGCATTTAAAAATATTTTTATCAAATACATTTTTTGTCATTTTCATACACTGTAAAAATATATTTTTTTTCCGTATGTATCTGCTAAATAAATGCTGCCTTTGTTAAAACAAATATACAGATCTTACCTTAAAGGAGCGCCTGTGGGTTGGGCATTACTTTCTGTCTCAGTGCTCCAGCTTTTAACAAGCAGGGTGTGTTTAATGGGTGTGTTTTTAGACCCCTCCCTTTTGGGGCGGTCCTGGATGGTATCTATAGCACACTAATGTTCTAATTCAAGCACTTTGCAGAACTTCAGAATCAGTCGTTAGCACATTTTCATAAAGCTAGTGTAAGAAACCAAATGAAAAAAATGTTCTTTAGTAAACAAAATGGCCCTATACCAAACGGTTCTTTGAGTGTTCATGGTTCAATATAGAACCATTGTTTTACTAAAGAACCCTTGAATAAACATCTTTTTAAAGTGTGTGTATAAAACCATTTTCAAAAAGTTTCTATACAGAACCATCTTCAGTACATTCTCCATCATTGTAAAGAACCATTTCACGAGGGAAAGCGCCTTTTAATCATGCAAAGGGTTCCTTGAGCGTTCATGGTTCCATATAGAACCACTTTCTTTACTAAAGTTCTTGAATGACCATGGTTTTAAAGTGTGTATATAAAACCTTTTTTAAAAAGGTTCTATATGGAACCATGTACAGCACATTCTCCATCAATCTGAAGAACGCTTTAACAATGTAACAAATCCCTTTACTATAGAACACTTTAAGAACCATCTTTTTTAAGAACTCATCTCTTTTCTACCTGACATTTTTTAAACATTTAGTCCAAAACAGTGTTAATATTTTGTGTTGATTAAAAAAATAATGATTGAAAACTGACACATGAGATTGAATATAGATAACAAATATAAATGCTATACGTAAATGTTTAACACGCCGTTCCAACTAAGACCCCCAGAGTAAACGAAGAGAGATCCCATTCAAATAAAACAGTTGACATTTTCATCAAAAAAGGATGTTCTGACACAGCCTTTTTTCACCAATTATATGTATTTTTATCCTTATATTTTATGAATTCAAATTCATCTGGTTCAAACAATTAAAATTGTACTGAATTAATCATGTTTGCATCAGACTTTTACAACTGTTAACCACAAATTCTACTCTTGGCTGAATTGTTTACAAACAGCAGGAGCTGTAAACAATATTTACATTTTCATTCATGATAGAGACATACACAATGTTTTTGTAGAACAACAAAATATATGAATTCTGCACAAATATTTTGAAAATTATTCAGCAATAATTCCATGATTCCCTAAAACTGTTAAGCTTTAAGTGATATCTAAGAATAAATCCAGAAAGCTGCAGCCTTTTGACGCACACGTGATGTTAAACAGGCTGATCCAGTTTGACTTGTTTATGCTTTAAAAAAAAAAAGACGGCAGAGTAGAGTGAGAAGGACAACTCCTAAAAAAAGGTCTTTTATTGTCACTACCATAACAGTCGCTACTAAAACATTTGGTAAGGTTTGGGTAGTGTTACGGTTGTGCTGGAATGTTCAATCATTAGTTTTAATAAAATAAACATGATTTAGGTATACAGTCAGTTATAATTTACTCCCACTATTTTTTTATTAGAAGAGAGCTGCTTTATAATCTCTATTATTATGCAGGTGTTGTCCAAGAATGCTGTTTACCTCAACTGTACAACGTTATGGCTTCTCTTTTGGTACTCAGTCATTTCAAACACAAAAACACCTGTTTTCTCACAACAGTAATTGTGTATTAAAATGTGTAGAAGTGTGTCTCTGTAGAGGACATGTGACTTTTTCACTTAGAAAATCTGCAACAACATGGAATCTGACCCCAAGGTTTTACATAAAACTGTAAATGGATCATTCTAATGAATTAATTGATAAATACTAAATGATACTAAACTAATCAAATTAATCATTGCTCCACCTGTTTTCCCTGTTTTTGTACTAATAACGTTTACTATCCTGTGTCGACCAGAGGAGGATGGGTTCCCCTTCTGAGTCTTGGTTCCTCTCAAGGTTTCTTCCTGTTCCTAGGGAGTTTTTCCTTGCCACTGTCGCCACTGGCTTGCTCATGGGGGCTTGGACCCGGATTTCTTTCTGTAATGCTGATTTCCTTGTAAAGCTGCTTTGTGACAACAACTGTTGTAAAAAGCGCTATATAAATAAACTTTACTAAATAGTTCATAAATACAGTAACTGCAAACAGCTGTCTAACTCCAAACATGGCTTGTTAAACCTGAAGGCATTAATGCTGGAATAACAGCTAATAATAAACACAAACATTTAAGTGAAATTCAAGGTTCGGTCATATTTTCGAATCGAAAATCGTCAAATTTGTTATGACCACTCAAACCCACAGTCCTGCCCACATGGAAAAAAAGCATATGGACATTTTTTTGTATTTTTTATAATACATTTCAAACACACTGCAGTCCAAGCTAAAATACACCCCAAACACTAAAATGTACTTCAGAATACATTGCCATATTAACCAAATATATTTTACAATATATGTATGGGGAAATATTACACATAGAAATGTACCACACAAAAATAAATGTCTAATGCACTTTACTGTCTGTTACTTTTTGAAATGAATTTGTATTCCAGTATCTTCATTTTAAATATGATTAAATGAACCTTCAACATGACAAAAGCAAGTGTTGTAGGTATTGATACTCTGTGAAAATGCAGTTATGATTTGATATCTTGTTTATTTGAAATACATTGTGCTTGTAATGTGTGTGTCTTACTGCATACGTACATGGTTAATGTAAAGTACAATGCAGATCACAGAAGTCAGTACCGTTTAGTTACGTTTATTACATATAACTACACACAACTGAACACATATAATAACAAATACACATAAATGCAAACAAATATATATATGTATATGTATAGAACACTAAAGCCAAACCTCTGACTGGAATGTGTGAGTTTGTGAGTGGGGCCGGTTAGTGCAGCGTGTGGGTGGAGCTTGTGGGTGGAGCACATGGCAGATCACTACACTGTGAGAGTTCCTGGGCACTTTTGCTGTTGTTTTCATTTTTATGTCACACTGGATCTACAGTAACAGTCAGCGTTTACAGTCAGAGTGAGTTTGGTTTCCTTTTGGTGATAAAAGTAAGAAAAAAGCAACACAATGGAAATGTTTTAGTTTTCATGTGAAGTGATCTTTTTCAGGTGATCTTCTGAAGAAGACAAAAGCTCAAAACAGCAGCATAGAAAAGGTGACAAACAGAATTTAGGTGAAACATTCTCTAAAGTCTGTAAGTATTGCTTAAAATGAATTTTAACATCAGCATGGCAGTATTTACACTTTATATTGTATACCTTCCTTGCCTAATTTCACTAAAAAATATATTGTGTTTTTTATTCATACTTATGTTTCCTGTATATACTTCTGCCTCACGCTTTACATTTGATTCCAGTTTGAGCAGAAAAATGGCAGAAATAGTGTCCGCCATCATCACTGGGGTGTCACTGTTGGGAACCACTATTGAACAGATATCCAGAAATGTGGAAACAGAGAGAAACGTTGCCATTCAAATCAGCAACTACAGCAAAAAATATATCTTAAAGAATCCAAGGTCAGTATGAGTGTATCAGTCTTAACTCAAACCACCCCCCCACAATGGTTTTCAAGTAATGTGCTGAACAAATTATATTCTGAAGTAAATTTTAATAAATTGTTTTTTTTGCTCTTTTAAAAAGAAATGTTAGTACAGCTATAATAATGCTACACCGTTATATTGTGAGTGATTTGTGTGATGGTTAGTCACTGTAGGCGAGCAGGAAGAACATATACACTGTTCTCTGTATATGATGTTTAATGTAAGCCTGCATTATTAATGTAACACTCGCCAGCAGGTATACCTGTGTTTGGCATGTGTGTGTTTGCTATGTTTGTGTTTGGCATGTGTTTGTTTAGAATGCATGTGTTTCGAATACCTGTTCTTGGTATGTGTGTGTTTGATATGCATATGTTTGGTATGATTGTGTTTGGAATGTATGTGATTGGTAAGTGTGTGTTTGGTATGCATATATTTGGTGTGTTTGTGTTTGGTATGTGTGTGTTTGAGATCTGTGTGTTAGGTGTACCTGTGTGTTTGAAATACACATGTTTGGAATGTATGTGATTGGTACACGTGTGTTTGATATGCGTGTGTTTGGTATGCCTGTGTTGGTATGTATGTGTTTGGTATGTATATGTTTGGCATGTGTGTGTTTAAAATGCATAAACAAATTATTTGTTTATGTTTGGTATGTATGTGTTCGGTGTGCATGTGCCTGGAATGCATGTGTTTGTTATGCATATGCTTAGTAAACCTATTTTTGGAATACAAATATTTGGTATGAGTGTGTTTTGTATGTGTTTGCTTAGTGTGCATGTGTTTGGTATGCGTGTTTGGTATACTTGTGTTTGCTACATATATGTTTGGCGTGTGTGTGTTTGGAATGTGTGTGATTTGAATACATGTGCTTGCTACGTGTGGGTTTGATATGCATATGTTTGGTATGATTGTATTTGTTAGATGTGCATGTGTGTGTTTGGTATATGTGTGTTTGGAATGTATATATTTGGTGTGTTTGTGTTTGGTATGTGTGTGTTTGTAATGTATGTGATTGGTAAGCATGTGTTTGGTATACTTGTCTTTAGTATGCATGTGTTTGCCTAAAAATTTGTTACAATATAGACATGCGAAGGGTGTTTGGTATGTGTGTGTATATGCATACCCTTAGTGTGTGTGTGTATCGTCTGGTAATGTATGGAGCTTTTTTTTACACCAGTTTTAAAAACATTCAAGGGAAACTGTGCTCGTAAGTGAGATCTGCAAACATGTGCACTGAGTAAACTCTCCATCTCTAATCTAGGGTCTTCACCACCTCTGGCTACACCCACAGCCCCCCACAGCCTATAGTCAGGAAAGAAACAAGGGAATCTTCTTCTTTTACCAAAACACCTCACACAGCCTGTGGCTCCGCAGGAGTCCTGACATACGACGTCTGTGTGGACAACAAGAGCAAGGCCGTCAAACGCCTGGCCATCATGTTCTCTGTTCCTTACGACTACAATCAGTACGAGAACCGGTTTGCTCTGGGCCTTTTCAACGCCAGCCAAACCTGTGATGAGTCTCTGTTCAACATGATGTACAACGGCAATGGTCCTTTCATCAGAGATAAGTGTTCAAGCAGTGAGCAAAAGTATTCAGAGAAAAATTTTATTCTGAAGGGAACGATGTCTCCCAGAGCCCAAGCCATCCTTAAGATGGAATTTTTGGATAATGATTCATGCAGACATTCCCATTAAAACAAGCAGTTTGTTTAATCAATTCCCTGAAATCTGTGTATGTACATATTAAAAACGTATAATGTGTCTGTGCACATACACTATATGGACAAAAGTATTGGGACACCTACACTTTATACCCACATGAGCTTTTATGACATCCCATTCTAAATCCATAGACATTAATATGCAGTTGGTCCCCCTTTTTCCACTGTTCTGAAAGCTTTCTACAAGATCTTGGAGTATGTCTCGGATCTTGGAATTTGTGCCCATTCATCCTGAAGAACATGTGAGGTCAAACACTGATGTTGGACGAGAGGGCCTGGCTTGCAATCTCCGTTCTTGTTCATCCCAAAGGTGTTTGATGGGGTTGAGATCAGGACTCTGTGAGGGCCAATCAGGTTCTTCCACACCAAACTCACCCAACCATGCCTTTATGGACCTTGCTTTGTGCACTGGGGCTCAGTCATGCTGGAACAGAAATGGGCCTTCCCCAAACTGTTGCTACAAAGTTGGAAGCATAAAATTGTCCAAAATAGTATGTCATGGTATACTGATGCATTAAGATTCCCTTCACTGGAACTAAGGGGCCTAGGCCAACCCCTGAAAAACAACCTAATAGCATTATCCCTCCTCCACCAAACTTTACAGTTGGCACAATGCAGTCAGGCAGGTAACGTTCTCCTGGCATTTGTCAAACCCAGACTCGTCCATCAGACTGCCAGATAGAAAAGTGTGATTCATCACTCCACAGAATACATTTCCACTGCTCCAGAGTCCAGTGGCAGCGTGCTTTACACCACTACATCCGACGCTTGCCGTTGTGCATTTTGATTTTAGGCTTGTGTGTAGCTGCTCGGCCATAGAGGCCTTTTGGAACTCTTTAATGAGTGATTCAACAGAGGATAGGCACTGTGCACGTCAGCATTTGGCGGCCCCACTCTGTGAGTTTTCGTGGCCGAGCTGTTGTTGCTCCTATACGCTTCCATTTCACAATAATATCACTTAGAGCTGGCAGGAGCAGATCTAACAGGTCAGAACTTTTACAAACTGACTTGTGGCAGAGGTGGCATCCTGAACTTATTAGTATGATCCATTCTACTGCCAGTGTTTGTCTATCGAGATTGCAAGGCTATGTGCTTGATTTTATCCACCTGTTAGCAATGGGTTTTGCTGAAACATCTGCACTCAATAATTAGGAGTGGTGTCCCAATACTTTTGTCTATATAATGTACATGTTGATAATTTACGCATTAACTTTACAAAATATTAAATCTGCCAGCTAGTTCTTTGATACATACTGTTTATTCCTCTTTAGTCAGTGTAGCTTTCAGGAGACTAAAAGTTAGAGAGGAATATTTATTGTAGTTTATGGAGCAAAAACTATCACTGATGCTATTACTGATAACTGATGATAAAAGACTGAAAACTGCAGTTAGGATTGTGGCACTTGTAATATGTTATTGTATTCTGAGCTTATTTATGCTACATACTACATACTTATGATCTGCAATAAAGTTCTGTGGAACACCTTTTTGATTTTGATATTTTTTTATACTTCATACATTCTTTCTGTATCACCTTTATCCTGTGTTGAAACATTTCTATCCTGATGTGAGTAGTCAGTGGAAACTGGAACAAGAGGTCTGCACTCCTGTGGATTTCCACTGGACCTGCTGACAATATCTTGCAGAACTAATTTTCAGTGATGTGTGTGGGAGTGCAGGTGGGAGCGGGTCAAAGCAAGCATGAAGAGAAATCCCACAAATTAATGAACAGCCTGAATAAAGTAGAACGATCACTAAATCATATATATAAACAATATAAAATTATAACAATAAAACAATTAAAATGAATGAAGTAGTTCTAAAGGGTTGTGAAGCAGCTGATCACGTGACCAACACAAAAATTCTCATAGTTAAAGAGACAGCCGAGCCTTCAGTCCAACGGCCACAGTGGCCCAGAAAAGCACCAAAAATAACCGCTCTGTGGTTTAATTCCTGCTTTGTGTTTACTGGGAATAAATGGCGTTTGGTGAAGTTACTCACAGTCAGCCTGATGACAATGACTGCCATGTTATTTCAGCAGAGGATGTGTGTTTGTGAATAGACCGTATTGAATATTGGGTGTTCGCCTTTACAGAACTGCGGGTGGGAGCAAGACTAAAAAACATTCCCTCACTGTAACTGGTCTTAAGACCTACCCAACATTACCAAATGTGTGTGAACAATCCTAGGCCCTCATTTCCAGTGAATGTAATTATTAATGCTATGGCATTCAATAACACTGTAGAGAATTGTGTGCTACCAACTTTGTGGTAAAAGTTTGTGGAAGACTTTTCATGTTCCAGCACGTGTCCCTGTAGAAAAAGGCAGATCCATAAAGGACCGGTTCACTTAGTGTAGTGTGAAGGAACTTGACTGACCTGCAGAGTGAAGACCTGAACACCATACAACATCTATGAGATGATCACCCCTGTGAAATTTGGTTTAGGATTTCATTTTTTCAAACTGACTTTGCTGAATGACCATCAGGTCGCATGTCTTTTAGATCATTAAGATATTTTTAATCTTTGGAGTTAAGTTTAAAGAAATGAGTTCCTTTAACAATTGTGTACCAAACCAAACTTGACCTTCATACCTAATGTTTCATGTGAAAGGTCCTGATGTCGTTATAAAAGATTGTTCTGATGCGTGAAAGGATTGTCACTTGGCCAAGGTGTTGACCAAAACAACCACTGACTCTTGGGTATTTTAAATAACACCATAGTCACTGTGTATTCATTGTCCCATTCCTGCCCACCCAACCCTGTTTGATTCCTAGAATGTTCTGAGAACCGATCATGTCAGGTTTTCTTTGCGGAAATACAGTAGAATGTTCCCTTTAACTTGTTCATTATCGTTCAGGGAGCATTCAGACAGCATTTTGAAAACATTTAAACTATTGAAACCTTGAGCATGGTTACGATAACATTCCCTTACCTTGTGCATGTGATCCCAGCGATTACATTCTGATGTTTTGATGAGCTGTTACTTTGGTGCTCACAACACTGTCTGCTTTGCAATCTGCACATTTTCAGATTCCTCAGAACGTTAACAGCGTTATCTGACAGCATTCTTCCAGGCTGTGTGAATGTACTGGCAACATGAGACAGTCAGCAACAGTGATCTATATAGGTAGTACACTGTCACAACCTCTTAGAATCAAAAGTTCAAACATCTGTCAGAACCAAGGGCTGTTAATAAGGTATATAACAAAAAGATATATTTCAAATGTGCTTTAATGTGGTATTACAGAAAGAAATAAAAAATAATCTGGATTATACAGCTACTTTTATTGCATACTGTAAGTATTGCATACTTTGCAATGTATGAAAATGGCCAAAAATGTCTTTGTTAAATGCATTTATTTGTGTTTGTTATTATAATTATTTAGTCGTATGTAGTTGTACTAAAGGTTACAGAAGGTTACAGTAACTAAACGGCACTGACTTCTGTGATCTGCGTTGTACTTTACATTAACCATGTACGTATGCAGTAACAATACAACACTCGCTTTTGTCATGTTAAAGGCTCATTTGCTAATATTTAAAATGAAGATACTGGAAAACAAATTCATTTCTAAAGGTATCAAACAGTAAAGTTAGACAAGATTTAGGATATTTTCATACATTTTCAAATGGATTTGATAAACACATTTACATACATTTATTTTTGTATGGTACATTTTTATGTGTAATATTTCCCCATACATTTTATAATAAATGTATTGGTTAAAATGGAAATATATTATGAAATACACGCACGCATTTGGCTTTATGGTGCTTAGGCCTCTTCACTCCTTACACATACACCGATACACTGATCAGGCATAACATTATGACCACCTCCTTGTTTCTGCACTGATTGTCCATTTTATCAGCTCCACTTACTATATAGGTGCATTTTGTAGTTCTACAATTACAGACTGTAGTCCATCTGTTTCTCTGCATACTTTGTTAGCCCCCTTTTACCCTGTTCTTCAGTGGTCAGCACCCCCATGGACCCTCACAGAGCAGGTACTATTTGGGTGGTGGATCATTCTCAGCACTGCATTAACACCGACGTGGTGGTGGTGTGTTAGAGTGTGTGGTGCTGGTACGAGTGGATCAGACACAGCAGTGCTGCTGGAATTTTTAAACACTGTGTCCACTTACTGTCCACTCTATTAAACACTCCTACCTTGTCAGTCCACCATAGCTCATCTGCTGCTGCACAGTTTGTGTTGGTCATTCTCTAGTCCTTCATCAGTTATCACAGGACGCTGCCCACAGGACCCTGTTGGCTGGATATTTGTTGGGTATATTCTGTGAGGGTCTATGGGGGTCCTGACCACTTAAGAACAGGGTAAAAGGGGGCTAACAAAGTACCCAGAGAAACAGATGGACTACAGTCTGTAATTGTAGAACTACAAAGTGCACCTATATAGTAAGTGGAGCTGATAAAATGGACAATGAGTGTAGAAACAAGGAGCTGGTCATAATGTTATGCCTGATCGGTGTACACATGCACATATTGCCGTGATGCATATGTAAGACATTTAACCCTATAAAATAAGTCCCCCTTAAACGCTTAAACATGTTTATGATGTGATGATGCTTCACACCGGATATACGGAATAAATAATGTTATTTACGAGTGCATGGCACATTATGCATGTGTGAGAGAGTCTGCAGCTGTAAAATGAATAGTTAATAACACAGATCACATTCAGTTTGACATGCCTGAATTACAGTGATAATAGTACAGGTTTGTAAGGAAACAGCACCACACAGTGGTGTAAATTTGTTATATTATCCAGATGTAATATACTGTGCTCACATGGAATCCATCTCAGCGCTCACTGGATGGAAGGCAGGAAACACCCTGGACAGGTCGCCAGTCCATCACAGGCCAGACAGACAGACATATACACTCACACACACTCACACCCAGGGGCAATTTAGCATCTTCAAATAGCCTGACTGCATGTCTTTGGACTGTGAAAACTGGAGCATAGCCACAGCCCTACAGTAAAAATCTATTTAAAAAGACAATGAAATATTGAGATCTTCGATATTTCCCCAAGGCACTAACAGAGATAGTAATATTACATGCTTACATTTTTTTAATATATTTTTTCAATGTTATTTTTAAAACTTTGAAAGCAAATCTGAGAGATTGATTTATTAGTATTTTAATTTTTCAAATAAACAAACAAAAATATTTTTAAAATGCTGTCCTATGTTTTTATGTCACTACCGAAACACAGAATTTTAGCCACACCCCTGCATTTTGGAGCAGGAAGTGGGACTGCATCCCTGTCCCTCATGGCCACATGGTGAGCAGTTAGAT